GGGGTCGGTGTTGCCTACTTCCCTCGACGAGCCATCCCGGGCACCGCGTTTTTTTAGGGGAGGGGGACTGCCGGAAAACTGCTGGCAGCGGCTTCAGGCGGGGAAAACCATGGGGCTCGCTGATGCCCTGCAGTGCCCGGTAGCGTCTGAGCATGGCTGGCCTCTGCCCGATGGGTTTGGGAGTTCTTCTAACCTCTGAGGGTTCTTCTTGCTTTCCTTTTGCTTCTCTTGCCTGCCTGGCATGTGATAAATAATAAAAATAAACGTGTTGACATTTAGAGAAATGAAATTAAATATAAAGAGAGAGTAGGAGGTGACTTAGCAGTTCAGAACGTGTCAGGTGCAGGCAGCCGAGGTGTGTGCAGGTTTTGCCCCGGCAGGCACATCCCTTCCCCCCCTCGCAGCAGATGCATACCTGCACACAGTAGCCTGAGAGGGGCTTGGCAGCTCTGGCCGTGCTGTTCTGCCTGAGTGCTGCTGTCTGAGGAGAGGGAAGTGTTGGAGATTCTCTCCTCCATCAGGAGATCTCTGCTCACACACTCGTCCTGGAAAACACTGTGCGGCTTGGAGGAAGAAAAGAGAGGGGAGCCTCTCTGCTGAAATGCTTTAAATGCAGAGATCGCTTCAGAAGAAGAGAGTGAACTATGGCATATGTATTATTTTTTAAATGAGGAATGTCCTTTTAAATAAGGATGGCTGAGTAAACATACATAAAATACTGCAAGCCATTTCAGAGGACTAACACCTGGGATTAGCTGATCTGCATTGTGAATAATGTCAGCATCAGAGCCGGCTTGAATTGGATTTTCCCTGCCAGAACAGAGAATATCAGCTGCAAAAGAAACCAGGTGTCAGAGAAAAATGCAGTTTGAAATTTTCAAAAAGCCTTCTAAGAAACCATTGCAATTCTTCCTCACCCCATGAAAATAAACCAGTAGGTGTGCCATGTACAGCAGAGCCTGCCAGTTCCTGCTGGGAGCTCTGTCCCTTTGTTATGTTTTTGAGCTATGTTAGAAAGAACTAGAACCAGGCTTTGTACCATCATCTGCATTAATAGGACCCTATAGCTTCACAGGTGCTGATATTTCTGTAAATAAATTACAGTAAACCAAATAGCAGGATAAGCAATATCTTTTAGGATACTTCTTAACATCGGTCTTATAACAATAGTACATGCTCCTAAAATATTTGCAAGTTTTGGAATGGTAAGTAGTTTACATACAGATTAAACCATAAAAATGTGATCTGGTGTACGCATATACATTGGATTTAAGCTTAGCACTGCATGTTATGATGATTTCTCAGTAATTCCAAAATTACAGCAGCATTTCACTGCTAACACTGAACAGCGGCTCAAATGAAAAATTAATCACAAGTGTACACTATTGATCAACTTTATGATTTCACTTGTTATTATTAGTTGTCGTTTCTTATTATTCTGTTTTGATTCCTTGCAGATTAGAAACAAAAATAATAGAAGAGTTCACCCCCTGGATCTTAGCCTTGGCCTTTTACAAGCGAGCAGAAGAGGAGCTGTCAGGCTGTGCATGTCAAATAGCCGCCCGGCTGTTTGACAGCTTCTGGGTTTCAACCCCATTGGGATTGAGGCAGCTCAGGAAGCCATGAGCGATGAGTCCTGTCGCCTGCTGACGCTGCTCCAGCACCATGGCAGGCATTCCGTGATCTGACAAGAGGATACGTCTTGGGGAGGCAGCACTGGGATCCGTAATTGGCTTCCTGGGAAACTACAGCTGGTGGATAGGATGTAAAAAGAGGTACACACACACTGGGATATTGCTACACTCTTGCTGAGCTCCTGGATCTGCTTGGAGGAGAGGATTTTGCCACCAGTCTTGTTTTTATATCTCCCGCTTTGGTAATGTTGGCTTTGGGGAAAATTTCTGCTGACTCACCCATGCCCAGACACCTTTCTCAAAATTTGGCTGATCAGTGAAGAACACCACCAACACCTTCTCCCCTCTGGCCCCCTCAGTGTTCCCCTCCATCCCACGGGGCCCCCGCAGCCCCCCCCGTCCCGTGGCGGGGGTGAGCACGCCTGAAGCTCCGAGCGTGGCCGGTGTCCAGCAAGATTTTACCCTGTCTGCCCCTGGGGCCCCAGCGCCGCCCCCCGCCGGCACTGCCGCCCCACTCGCTCGCCCCAGGCCGCGCAGGATGGGGGCGGCGCTGGTGCGGCGCGGGGGCTGCCTGCTGCTCTGGCTGGCCCTACTGCTGGGCTGCTGGGCTGAGCTGGGCAGCGGGCTGGAGTTTCCAGGGGCCGAGGGGCAGTGGACCAGGTTCCCCAAGTGGAATGCCTGCTGCGAGAGCGAGATGAGCTTCAACATGAAGACGCGCAGCTCCAGTGGGCTGGTGCTCTACTTTGACGATGAGGGCTTCTGTGACTTCCTGGAGCTCATCCTCACCCAAGGTGGGCGGCTACAGCTCAGTTTCTCCATCTTCTGTGCTGAGCCTGCCACCTTGCTCTCTGATATGGCAGTCAACGACAACCTTTGGCATGCCGTGGTCATCCGCCGCCACTTCAAGAACACCACTCTGATCATTGACCGGGCTGAGGCGAAGTGGGTGGAGGTGAAGTCCAAGCGGCGGGACATGACTGTGTTCAGTGGCCTCTTCTTGGGGGGACTCCCGCCGGAGCTGCGGTCGGCAACTCTAAAGCTGACACTCTCCTCTGTCAAGGACCGGGAGCCCTTCAAGGGCTGGATAACAGATGTTCGGGTCAACTACACACAGACGTCGCCGGTGGAGAGCCAGGAGGTGCGGCTGGATGATGAGCAGAGCCGCCTGTGTGCTCGGGAGGATGTTTGCCTCAACGGAGGTGTCTGCTCGGTGCTCAACGACCAGGCTGTCTGCGACTGCTCCCAAACGGGCTTTCGGGGGAAGGACTGCAGTGAAGGTAAGGCACCATCTTAGCTTGCCCCACCACCCCCTTTGTGTAGTGGAGGGGATGGGTAGGAGGTCAGGCCTGCATGGAGTTTCATCTGTATGAGTGGGTCTCGCTCCCCTCCCCGCTGCCTCCCTGCTGCCTCCTCTCTTCCTGCCTTCCTTTCCCCACGTGTCTCTGTGGCAGACCATGGTGCCATCACTCCTCTGTTCTCTTCAGGGGCGAGCAGGGGGAGGAAGACATCATCTGGGTATCTTCTGATGGCAGGGTGAGATGTGGGGATGTCCTGGGATGGAGAAAGGACAGGGCCTCGGTGCCAGGTGCTTCCCAGCTGGGAGGGGGTGGCCAGCATTTTACTTGAGGGTGAGGGTGGGCAAGCTTGCAATGAGCAGCTGCTGGCAATTAATTTTGGGAAAAGGGAAAACAACAAGGAGAAATTTTGCCGGATGAAGTGCAAAGATGACCTGGGTTTATTTTTGTAAGGTAGCGGAGATCCAGAGTTTGTTTTGTTTTGATACCTACTTCTGGTCTGTTATTTGAATAAAATCAGTGATTTATTTGGGAATTCCTTAAATTGTTGCTGAGGAGGAAGATTAGATAGAGGATTATGATTTTACACATATGTGAACGGTATTGCTTTGTGATGTATTAGCCATTTACAATGCTAGTCTTAAAGAGAGAATACAAAAGGGGGAAGCATACACTCCATGACTGCAAAATTCCCGAGGAAGATAGAGCTTTGAAAAACAGCAGTTTCCTGAGTCCCGTCTGCAAATAAAGCACTGAGTAAAATATGGTTTGTATTCAGTGCCTATTGTTATTTGTGGTTGGAAGGATTGTGAACATTTAATGCAGATACATGCAGGATTCATATTATTTTGCTAGTAAGTGTACCACTGCTTGAAGCTATGTAAGCATAGAGATTACCTGTGTTATGTACCTACAATGTAACTTGCAGGTATACATATGAAATGAGACCAAATGTATCAAGTGAGAATGTAATGTTCGTGTCAGAATTTGAGAGCAAAGACCTGTGTGTAAAATGTAAAAAGTAAATATCAATAAGATACTATGTAGGCTAAATGAAGGTCTTCCCTGAGTAGCTGCATGACATTAATAGCTGAATAATTTTGTCATTTCTATCAGATTTCACCCATTTTAAAAAAGAAAACTTCATTTGTGACTGTGCTTTATTATGTAATACCTTCTGTCCTTAGTGTCAGTACCCAAAACACCACAGTCATTCTGCATCTTGTTTGCTTTATCAGTTGTTTATCTCTCATCTGCCATTTGTTAATAAAACCAAACCTTATAAACATCTTAAAATAAGTTTTAGTAAGTAAAGGCCAAATGATAATTTAACAGAATAAGAAGTCTGTTTTTTCAATAACACACAGTCCCAGAAACAGTAAAATGAGGTATCTTCTATTTTATTCTAAATCATGTCAGTAAATTTAGTATTTGAGGGGGAATTTTTAATGCATAGTACTACTTAATATATAGGTGTACATAAAATATTGAGTTGTCTTTGCACCTTTGAGTTAGGTCTCATAAACTAAAAGCAAATTGTGAGCTGTAGCAGTTTGATTAAAGCAACAATAATCATTTATATATAATTATAAACCTATATACATTAAAAGTGTCTATTTAAAGTGATTTTGAACATATATTTATGTGAAAAGTTTGTATAATTGCATGTAAAATGAGGCAGAAAAAAATCTTTAAATAACAGAATTAATGAGATAATGAGCTATTTTTAAATAACATTTTTGTATTTAGATTGAATCTTCATGAAATAGTTTTTTATATGTAAGCATGTATTGTGCAGTGGTTGTAAGATGATGATACTGGAAATAATTTTAGAATCCACCAAATTAGAGTGAAATACTGGCTTCAATCAATTACAATGTTTTTAGAATTGACATCAGTGGGATACCCCTCACACGTTCCTTGGCCACCAAGAAGCCTTATAAAATAGTAACAAGACATACTTTTTGCTTAGACTCATCCTGAAGTATTCAGCTTCTAATTTCATTTGAAATAGAAGACAGTGTTTTCACTGATATCAGTATAAATCGAATTTGTTTCTGTTGATCAAAAAAAAAAGATAAGTTAAATTCAGATCAGTGAGGTTTGATGAAGGGATTAGTAACTACTTATGTGCTACCAAAGATATTGAACTGATTTGTAATTAATAATTTAATCTTTTCAGAAATAAAAAAGTGGAAGTACAAGTGAAATGACCACATTTGTCAAGTAGGAAATCCTGGCTATTGTTACTTATTTCTTTATAGCCAACGCAGAAATTATGTTGTTGAGTTATGGCCTTTTGTTCCTGGAATGCGTAAATTTTCCCCAGCCCTTAGTAAGAGGTTGCCGTTGTTGAAGGATGGAGGATCATCTCAAACTGTGGTGATGTGAAGTGAGACTTTTGAGATTTTGCTCTTTGTCTTGTTTTAATTAGAAACCTTTTGTATGTGGAAAAAATACCAAAGTGTCCATTTTTATCTGAAATCTTGACCATATGTCCTAGTTACTACCTTTTTCCTTCAAGGTGAAAGATTAAAATTCATTCTCTGTCAAGACCTTTCTATCTACATTATGTATAAGCTTAGATTTTGTGTGCTTTTGTATTTCTGGCTGGGCACAGGGTTCAGTTTTAAGTGGTGTAATGAGCACTTCAGGAATCAATAATATTAAAAACAAACAAAAGAAATACAACTTTTTCAAAAAATTTTAATCCTGACTTGCACATTTAAGAGATTAGAAAATAAATGTATAGACTTAAATAGGTTTGAAGAGTCAATGGCCTCGAGCCTTTCAGGCCTTAGGAAGCATTTTTAATAGCATCTAAGTCTCCCTGCCCTTCTTTTTCACCTTTGAAAATCTCATTAAGTTTTCTTGAAGTAAAATTTCCTCAGAAGAATAAAGTTTCACCAAGTATATTTGCTTTGAAAATCCCATATTATTATAACTAGTATATAAAGTATTATATATCTGGATTGCTGAGTCCAGGCCTGGGGCTCCCAGCACAAGAAGGATGCAGAGCTCTTGGAGCAGATCCAGAAGACCACTGAGATGACTAGAGGGCTGGAGCACCTCTCCTATAAAGAAAGGTGGATGGAACTGGGCTTGCTTAGCATAGAGAAGAGAAGGCTCTGATGTGACCTCATTGTGGTCTTCCAATATTTGGAGGGAGCATATAAACAGGAAGGGGAATGGCTGTTTACGAGGGCGAATAGTGATAGGACAAGGGGGAATGGTTTTAAACTGAGACAGGGGAGGTTTAGTCATGGATTTAGGGATGTTAGGATGAAGTTATTCACTCAGAGGGTGGTGATGCACTGGAACAGGTTGCCCAAGGAGGTTGTGGATGCCCCATCCCTGGAGGCATTCAAGGCCAGGCTGGATGTGGCTCTGGGAAGCCTGGTCTGGTGGTTGATGACCCTGCACATAGCAGGGGGGTTGAAGCTGTGTGATCATTATGGTCCTTTTCAACGCAGGCCATTCTATGATTCTGTGATAACTTACTCCCAGTAGGCTTGACTGTCCTTTTGCCTCTCTAATTGAGAGTAGCTTCATTTATGTTATCCAAACTATATGGGAGTGAATTTAGGAAAGTATTGGATATATTGCATTCAGTCATGTTCTTAGTTCCAATAGTATCTAAACTCTCTTCAGTGGGAGATTTCATATGAATCACAGAATAAGGACTGGAGTTCTACTCGAATATTAAGGGCATGCTGTCTACAGCAGAGAAAAATACGACATGTAGCAGTACTGTTGTTGGCTGGGCTGAGTGCTTATAGATAAAGACAGCACGAGAGGCCTTCTAAAAAAGAATATCTCTAGTACTGAAACACACCAGGGAATATTATTTCTCGCAATAACTCAGCAGAAGGAAAAATACATAAAATTATGATAAATTTTGCTAGAAATAAGACTAGCGTTAAAATAAACCCCAATTGCCATACAAATTTTCTGATAAATTCTTTGACATACACCACAATCTTCTCAGTGAAAATTATATTATTCCATGAGAAAAATCAAATGGATATGGTGTGATTTTGCTAAAATAACTGTTTGTTAAGAAGACTGTTCTTAAGAATTAAATTAGTGAATTAAGTCAGAGTCCTAGAAGATAAGAATGCGTCTCCTACCAGTATTTTTTATTCCATTTTGTTTATGTTTAAATTTCAGAACAAAAACAAGTATTACATTAACATTTGTAATTTATATTTTATAATTTATTTATATTTTTATTTTTTTATTTATTTATAATTTTTCTTTTTATTTTCATTTGTATTAAAATGATATAGTCCAGTATTCTGTCTGAGAAAATAGACAGATGCCTCTGGAGAAGGCAATGAAAACCATGTTACACGCTTTGCTCTGGGAAATGTTTCTCACTGAACCCAGATTCTTGTCAATTCAGACCTTCTGTGGTTCTGTATCTGTGACTGTTTCAAGGAAATTACATGTGGGGTGATTTATCTTTCTAAAATGTAGCTGGGCTACTTGCCTCAATATTTGGTTGTTATAGAAACAATTACTCTGTGGATCCAAAGTGTTCTTGTTTAGAGCATGGTTTATTTTAACTGTCCTACTGAGTTTCTGTTTTGTGGAAAAAATGAGGACTGTTCATGCAGCTGTTCACTGTAAGAGATACTCTTCCTTGTCAGATATTTAGAACTTGATGCCAGCTATGGTTTGAACTGTGAAAAGTTTTTTTGTTTTGTTTTCTTTTGTTTTTTTTGGAAGTAAATTTCAGATGTCTCAGGCTAGCCAGCATTTAGATTTGTTTGTATGGGTTCTGAATATATTACATCAATCTTTGTTGTGCATATTTGCTTCTTCATGTTAACTTTTAAAAAAAGTCATCCAATATTCATATCTTTCTGAAAATTTCCATATTATAATTCCTTCAATTCCCTTACGTATTGAATAAAATATATAAACATCTTTGGGCGTGAATTATATTTTTTGAGATAGATGTTTGAGCTCAAAGTGAT